TGCATCGGAATCAACACCCATGCAGCCATGCAGTTTTAACCTTTATTGATTGATATGATGTTCAATTGAATTTATCAGAAATAAGGAAACTTATAGGGTGCATGGATCTAGAGGTTGTGTGAAACAGAACAGTTTTTTTTTTCTGGCTCATGAGTCTACGTCTGGCAAGATGAAAAGAAAAACAATAAAGAATGTATGATAATTTCTCTGTTTTAAACCTATTGCATGGCATGAATTCCTTGTGGCACTGAGGGTATTGATGATTTTATTAAATTTGTTCTTAATAAAGTTTCCTTTGATGATCAAAATAAATCCAACAAAATGGGCCACAGTGGTCAGTAGCAGTTATAATTTTTATTGGAAGTTCAAGGCCTATGTGTTTCTAACATGGAAAAACAAGTAAAACAAAATGTCAGTAAATTCATTTTTAGTGCCAAAAACTTCTTTTCTTTCAAGCAACATGCCTGGTGTTTTGAGAATAAAAAAATATCAGCAAAAATGTCTGGTCAGTGTTTCGTCTTTTGTGTATGGAAACAAGTCATAAATTGGTGATGAGTAAAGAGAACAAAGTATTTAATGGTCGGCTGCATTTTGGAATTAGCCAAAATTTCAGTTTCAAGGCTTTCTTTCATGCTGTTTGATCAGAGGGGTTTGAAGATGAATTCCTTTTCATGGTTTATTGATGAATATGGCACACAAACTGTCAATTCAATCTATAGGTTGATTTCAAGCAGAAATATAAATAGGAGAGCATTCTGAACACGAAATTCGGCAGAACAATGAAAAAATGAAACACATGTCTAATTCATTGTGCCAACTGCCAAACTAAGGATGACCCCTGAACCTTTGACCCAAGTGCTTTGTTGAATTTTTGTTTGAATAATGAAATTTTTATCTCCCATCCATGGATAAAATAAAAGGAAAATATATGCAATGAAAAATCTGCCTTTTACTTTTTCCTTGGAAATTTTCTTCATGTCTTCCAGTACATTCATTAATTTCCATTTATTGGAAAATATGTTGAGGAAAGAAAGATCAAAAGATGTTGAACAAAAATTTCATTGGAATGAAACTAATGTGTCCATCTATCGTTCAAAGAAAGATAACTCCTGCTCTCTGTGAAGAATCAGCAGACCTAATTTTCACTAAACCAGATGGTAGCAGAACTTTATACACCCTAAATGCCAAAGTTCATCAGAATTTTTTCATGAAAAATGAAAAAAGTAAATTTTTCCCTGGTGTTTATTCAGAAATTTGGCCCAGATGGAGTCAATTGAGAAGTGTTTAATTTTCATGAAATGTAGAAAATTGTGTTAATTACCTCTCAACTTTGAAGAAATCATCTTTAAATCTTTACTCAGTTTTATAAGCAAGACCCTAGGATTAATTATCTTTTCAGCTACTAGAAAATAAAATTTTTTGCCTTAAATCATCAGGATGAATGGATAGATTTCATTCTGGGCTTCAGCTTGAATTTCTTTGAAGAATACCTTTTTGAATATCTACTTGTGCCAATGGGAATTTTATTGATGGTGCTTAAGTAGAAATAAGAATAACCTTAACTAAATCATGATGTTATGTGTATATTCTTCTAGGGCAGGCACCTAATTTTTCTTTTTCAACTTTTTGAAATAGTTGTCAAAATCCAATATTTTAAGCAGACAGCTTGCACTTTTTTTTTTTCATTTTCGTTTGTTGTTTTACACGTGAAGGCAGCTGATGCCATAGAATGAGGGGTCATCAGAAGAAAACATCAGTGCCGTGTTTTGAGTTTATAACCATCTGTTTTAAATGAGTTTCTTTTAAATATTTATCCCTCTTTAAAACATATGCTTTTAATTTGTGCAACACAGGTAGTGAATTTTGTGGGAGGGTGAAGATAAAATTTTTCTGTTGATGCCATGCAGCTTTGAAGGACAAGATCATGATTCCAAGAAATTTTACTGCACTTTTAATACATTCTATTGATAAAAACAATTATTTGAAAAAGAAAAAAAAACTTCAGCTCATTAATTAACATATAGGGTAGGGTGGTGTAATTTCGACCACCTCGTTAATTTCGACCGTTCATAAATACCTTACTATAATTTGTTTATGGCGTATAATTGTGTATGTACTTTTATATTATTCAGAAAGAAAACGTTTTCTTAATATATTGTGTCCAAAATAATTTTATTTCCATGAGCGTTATTAAGATTATTGGAAAATCACATCAAAGAATAGGCTTTATCACCCGAAAAATTACAGACGGGTATATTTTTTGCCATTACGGCGAACTATCACCTCAGAAAAATCTTGTATGGAAAGACAATCAATGGATATCCCTGATGTGACATTTATCAAATATTATTTTGAAAATGAAATCTAGTATACACCTTTAATTTATAGTATTTAGTTTTTACAAATTCAATTGCAAATCAGCTGAACAGAAATCGGCCAAAGTTATACCTACATGAATACGGCGTCATTGGGTAACTTCGACCTATGTAAAATGACGCAATTCACTATCTGTCACCAGAAAGAATTCATAACCATCCGGAAAAAATATTCTGATAAGAATTATGTACATTAATACCTGATAGACACTAGAACTAAAATAGTGAAAAATCATCATTTGTTAGCTCACCTGAGCCGAAGGCTCAAGTGAGCTTTTCTGATCACATTTTGTCCGGCGTCCGTCTGTCTGTCTAGCTGTCTGTCTGTCCGTAAACTTTTCACATTTTCGACTTCTTCTCAAGAACCGCTGGGCCAATTTCAACCAAACTTGCCACAAAGTATCCTTGGGTGAAGGGGATTCAAGTTTGTTCAAATGAAGGGCCACGCCCTCGTTCAAGGGGAGATAATTGGGAATTAATGAAAATTTGGTGGCATATTTTAAAAATCTTCTTCTCAAGAACCACTGTGCCAGGAAAAATGAAACTTATGGGTAAACATCCTCAGGTAGTGTAGATTCAAGTTTGTTCAAATCATGACCCCCGGGGGTAGGGCGGGGCCAAAATGGCCGACCAAATTTTTACATAGAAATATATGGGAAAATTCTTTAAAAATCTTCTTCCCAAGAATGACAAAGCCATAATTCATCATATTTATATGGAAACATCCTTAGGTAGTTTAGATTCAAGTTTGTTCAAATCATGACCCCCGGGGGTAGGGCGGAGCCAAAATGGCCGACCAAAGTTTTACATAGAAATATATAGGAAAATTCTTTAAAAATCTTCTTCCCAAGAATGACAAAGCTATAATTCATCATATTTATATGGAAGCATGCTCAGGTAGTGTAGATTCAAGTTTGTTCAAATCATGAGCCTGGGGGGTAGGGCAGGGCCAAAATGGCCGACCAAACTTTTACATGGAAATATATAGGAAAATTCTTTAAACATCTTCTTCTCAAGAATGACAAAGCCATAATTCATCATATTGATATGGAAGCATGTTTAGGTAGTGTAGATTCAAATTTGTTCAAATCATGACCCCCTGGGGTAGGGCGGTGCCAAAATGGCCGACCAAAGTTTTACATAGAAATATATAGGAAAATTCTTTAAACATCTTCTTCTCAAGAATGACAAAGCCATAATTCATCATATTTATATGGAAGCATGTTCAGGTAGTGTAGATTCAAATTTGTTCAAATCATGACCCCGGGGGGTAGAGCGGGGCCAAAATGGCCGACCAAAGTTTTACATAGAAATATATAGGAAAATTCTTTAAAAATCTCCTTCTCAAGAATGACAAAGCCATAATTCGTCATATTTATATGGAAGCATGCTCAGGTAGTGTAGATTCAAGTTTGTTCAAATCATGACCCCGGGGGGTAGAGCGGGGCCAAAATGGCCGACCAAAGTTTTACATAGAAATATATAGGAAAATTCTTTAAACATCTTCTTCTCAAGAATGACAAAGCCATAATTCATCATATTTATATGGATTCCGAAGCATGTTCAGGTAGTGTAGATTCAAGTTTGTTCAAATCATGACCCCAGGGGGTAGAGCGGGGCCAAAATGGCCAACCAAAGTTTTACATAGAAATATATAGGAAAATTCTTTAAACATCTTCTTCTCAAGAATGACAAAGCCATAATTCATCATATTTATATGGAAGCATGCTCAAGTAGTGTAGATTCAAATTTGTTCAAATCATGACCCCCAGGGGTAGGGTGGGGCCAAAATGGCCGACCAAAGTTTTTAAAGATATATATAGGACAATTTTTAAAAATCATTTTCTAAAAAATAGCAAATCCATGATTGGTCATGGGACTACTTTTGGATTTAAACTTTACAATAAAAAGCCATTTTCTACTTTTTCCTACCCTTAGTGCTCAGGTGAGCGATGTGGCCCATGGGCCTCTTGTTTTATTTACATGCGGTTTAGATGCCTGTATATGACCATTTGTTGCATGCTTTAACCAATTGGCATATCAGCGTCATGGACATATCTGGTGCACTCGATGTCTTCGAATTAGGTACATTTTGAAAAATCATTTTTATTGTCAGTATTTTTACCCGATCTTTTATGCTGTACAGCAGAAAAATTTTAATTCATATTTTTTTTTTTACTATATTAGAGCTGACGCCAATTATTCCCTTTGTATTGGCTCATCGGTCGAAAATACCCCGTGTGCGGTCGAAATTACCCAACACACATATCGTGTAAATCGAACGCATTTATTTCATATTATGACTAAATATATATACAAAATCGATGTAATCTGAAAGATAAAAGGTATTTCGAAGGTTAAATGATGCAGTAAAAGTTGTATCAGAAGATAACAGTGACATACTTTAACAAATCTTAAGTACAAAAAAATAATCGGTCGAAATTACACCACCCTACCCTATTGCAGAAATCAAACATGAGTCTGTTTTTTCTAGTTTCTCTTTTTTTCATGATTAAACAGTAATATGAATATCTCCATGATGTCGCAAACTAATTGGAAATTCTATCTCTACAATTCTGTATTTTCTGAATTGCAATGAATAATTTCTATTTTTGTGTGTTTTAGGGTGGAGATGCCAGTGCAATCAGTCCCTCGGCTGGTGGTGCCCCAGTCCCCCCACCCCCCGGACCACCCCCACCCCCTCCCCCACCGGCAGTCACGGCCCCACCTCCCTCCTCTGGGCCCTCTGAGGATGATGCTAGGGCAGCCTTAATGGATGCTCTGAACAAGGGAACAGACATTACTGCAGGTTTGTACTATTAAGTAAAATATTGGTGAAATAAATTACAAAACTGAATATTTATTCTATCAGTAATTGATTTTGTTTATTGTATTTTACCCTCAATATAGTCTTTTTTTTGCAAAAAGCATATTATATACACTGTAGTATGCTGTTTGTTTACTCTATTCCTCTCTGATGCTGTTCTCAATGTTAGAAGAAGTTAATACATGCATATATCTAACAGACATTGAAATTTTGTAGAGTCATTTTTATAAAAACTGTGTAGTTTTTTTTAATAACATTTTGCACACAGATTGATCTGTAATACTTCATACACATGTTGTAGCTAGAATTAACTGGGAGAAAAGTTATAAAAAACCAGGATATCAATATAAAACAAGGACATTTCTGCTATTTTAAGTAAAACACCAAGACACTTTAAGGCAAACCCCTTTAATTTAGAAATAATACATCATTGATTTGTACATGAGTCATCTCTGATTCTATAAACAAAAGACACATATATGATTCAAAACTGATTTAAACTGTAGGTTCTTAATTTTGAAATACATATTAAACGTAATTTAACACATATTAGATGGTTAAATTTTTGTATTTCCCCCTCATCTTTACTTTGAATTTATTAATTCTTTACGTAATTCATAAATAATTTTCTTCAATTTTTCCAATTCTTCTGAAAGTTGCTTGCATTTGAAGCTGTTTTTATTGAATTTATTATATACAGTAGATAGATAACAGGTTGTTTTTCTGACTGACCTAATTTCAGGCTTACGACACGTGTCCGACAAAGAGAAGACTCACAAGAACCTCGCCCTCCGACGCACCAGTCAAGACGACGATGGTGCAGTCTTTTAATTTAATCTGTGATGAGCATTTTACATAACTCTGTACTCTGCACCACAATCTAGCTTTAGTAGTTGTTGTATTTGCTCTATCAAATTCTATAATATTTTAATTTAACTATGTGCGCAATTTAACATATTGAGATACACTGGAAACCAAGTCACTCTTTTATTGACAAGAGGCATTTTGAGCATGTTTGACTGTTCTAGCACAAAGGGGAAAAAATCAGAAATCACAATCATGATGAGCATATATGCTTGAGAAGTATTGAGAAAAATTTCAAAATCCATGCACATCTTTTTTTTTCATGAAAGCTATTTCTTTTACGTCAAATATTCTGATCTCTTTTGAAATATACTGAACAAATATTAAAAAAAAATATATGTAGATATAACTTTAATTGAAGTAAAGCAAATTAAAGGTATTAAATAAATCATAAAGGGGAAAAAATGTAAATAAGATCAGCATTATACTGGTTATTTTTAACTGGTTACAATGAGTTGTATGATGTGGGAACAAGAACCATAACTGCGTATCACTAGCTTTGTCTTTATAGACTCTCTCCTGGGTTTTGTTCTTTGTCTCACCTCAGTCACCTGATCATTCACTCAGGAGTGTTCTGAGAGAACATGCCTGATACACATGCCAGCTATTGTCACATAGTATTCACATATACAAGAAAGTTATAGATAAAATGAAGTTTAATGGATCCACATGATACACACTGACAAAGAATTAACATTTTCATTTAAGATTATTATTATAACAATTTTTCCAGAAGCTAATGTGAACATGCAAGTTAACTAAACGTTTTATAATGAGCTCCTTATTTTCTAATGAAACTTCTTAAAATGAAATTGGCTTTAACAGAGTTTTGCTGGAATTCAAAATGGTCCATTTATGTTGCCTATGGCACAGGAGTCTGAAAATTTTATTGTAAAAAAAAAATATCCCTCCTTCAGCTAACACGTTTTTACAGGTTTTTTTTCCAGATTTTTTTATGATACAAAACCGAAGACTCCTGTGCTAATGGTGAATAATATAATACATGTATTTGTATCTGATGAATTAATCTTGTAAGAAATTGTACATAAGAAAGTATTGGTTTCCACTGTACCAGAAATCTAAGCTAGTTGTGAATAATCAGAGTGCTAAAATATTCATCACACCAGCATTTTATTATTAGATATTAATTATACAATTAATTAGTAATACTATACAGAGGTCTGCTTCATACAGACTATACAGTGTTAGATAGCATTGTTATTTGTTGTCGTTTATGACATCTCTAAGGGGAGGGCTAGATTTTTAGAAATTATAATTTTTTAAAATATATTTTAAATGTCCTTTGTTAGCATCCCATATACTGCAAATTATTTCCATACTATTCTAACATATGTTCCATGTGTATTATTCTTCAGTCCTAAGTTTTACTCTATTCTTTGGGGGTTATGTGGTTTGTTGCCAATCCTGTATAATGAATGTTAGGAGAGGTTGGTGGGGCTCTTTAATATTTAAGGGAATTTTTTCAGTATTTTCAGAAATAAATCCATTTGAAGAAATACATGAAAAAGTACACATAACTGAATAACTACCATGTATCAAAAATTCATTTTAATTCATCAAGTAATAAGTTAATAAAAATGCATCATCTGTGAGGAATAATATTAGTTATCCAGGTTCAAAATTTACATTTACACCCTGAGGCCGAAGGCCGAAGGGTGTATGGAATACAACCCGGGGTAAATCCCCGTACACCCTTGATTGGACCTGGATAACGAATTTATTTCCTTTGTACCCATAAAAATGCTTTGTAAACATGATTTTTAGCTTTTATCATAGAGAATGTTTGCATTGTGACGTCACGTTTATTTACACCCGGCTGAAGTCGGGTGCACGGATATTTACACCCGACTTTGTAACCAATCAAAGCTCGTGTTACAAGCTAGATAGGAAATAACAAAGTTTATTGCTTACATTTTTGTATAAATACATCCAATATTCCCCTGACAAAATTTTTTAAGTTCATCCTTCTAATGTAATTTTTGTCAGAAAGTTGTCATCAACATCAGCCCACTGTCTGTGATAGATCTGTGTCTGCCGAAATTTCCTAAATTTACAAAAGGTTTTATTGCAGTTACAAGTATCTACAATGTTTTATTACACACAGGTCACATACTTAAGGACTGAATGGCAGACTTTACACTCTCACTTGATGTCTTTTATTTCAATCAGAGGAACTGGAATTCTCTCATGCAAAACATTTTCTTTATTAATTAAGTAATGAATGATTCATAACAAGCATGTTTGTTTCTATTAATAGGTGTTGTTTTCCCTTTCTGAATGTTAAACCTATGTTCAATTTAAAAGATGCTTTAATGGATTCTTTTATTTTAACAGACTTACATGCATTTCTTACAAGATCATTTTCAAAAATAAAACATTCTTGAACAAGACAGATAATGACTATTGTATTGGTGACTGGTGTTTGTGTTGAATGTTTCAGGTCTGAAGAAGGTGACAGATGACATGAAGACCCACAAGAACCCCACCCTGCGTCAGGGACCCAAACCATTCAAGGCGTCCGCTCCTCAGACCGCCCCCAAACCAGGAAAGCCAGCGGCCCCAGCCCCAGCACCAGCCAAAAAGAATCCCCCAGTGTTTGAACTCCAGGACAAAAGATGGGCCATCGTAAGTGTGGACATAGTGGACATATAGATACTCGCATCAAAGCAAAGCCAAAGGCTCAAGTGTCAGAACTTTCCTGATTAAAATTTGTCCAATATCTGCATGAAATATATGGAGATAACAAACAGTAATCAAGATCAAAAGTCCTAAAACAATACAAAATAGGAGCAGAGTAAACACGGACCTCCGAGACGGAGGTGGGATAGTGTGCCTTTCTGTGTAAACTTTACATATTTTTGATCCAGCTGAACAAGTTCTGAATATGAGACCATTCATCAGAAACCATTTTTTTGGAAAGTTATTTATTTCAGAATTACTATAAATTACTAGTACAATAAATTAGGAGATTTAGACACATATAATAAATAATGTTGTTTTGTGTATACCTTTATTATAGGAATACCAAGAGGGTAATAAGAACTTGGAGGTCACAGATACCAACCTTAAACAGACTGTGTATGCCTTCAAATGTAACAACTGTACCATCAAAGTCAGCAACAAGCTAAACTCCATCACACTGGGTAAGACGACATCAATTGTTATAGTCTCACCAGAGATATCAATTCATGTGAAACTGGCTGGTTTTTGATCGCGGAAGTAGCTCAAATTTTATGGACAATGAAGATGTGTTTTTCAGAGACAATATTGTTATTACAAGACTTAGACTCACCTAAAAAGTTTAAATGAAAGAGATTTAGAGGAAAAAAAATCTTTAATGCATTGTAAAGATATTTAACATTATGAATTTATACTGCCTTTGCAGAATAGTTTTTATCATGCTTTAAGTATTTTTTGGGCAGTAGTATCTGATGTTCATATGTTACTCAGTCAATATTTGTCAGATACAGAGAGAAGATATTTCACAATATATGATTTCCTTTTAACAGACAGTTGTAAGAAGACCGCCATTGTCTTTGATGATGTAGTATCTTCTCTTGAGTTCATTAATTGCCAGAGTGTTCAAGGACAGGTAAGAGGGGTCAAGGTCAAGTGTCTTCAGTGTGAATTTTAAAACCCAAAACTTAATTTGATAGGTTTAAATTCATTAGTGATTTATTAATAATTTTTTTTGTAATTTTAGGTAATGGGTAAAGTTCCAACCATAAGTATCGATAAAACTGATGGGTGTCTGATCTATTTGAGCAAGGACTCCCTTGATACTGAAATAGTGACAGCAAAATCCTCTGAGATGAACATTCTAGTACCTAAAGCCGATGGAGACTTTGTAAGTAAAGGGATAGATAACACATGTAACAGTTTGTGTTTTTATTTAAAAAGAATTCATATTTTGGCAAACAGTTTGCAAGTCCTTTGTGTTCTTAAGGAATAGAACCAAAGTGTGATTTTATATGTAATGTACACCAAATAGTCCTTACTCTACATTGGGCTAAAAATTATAGAAATGTACGAACAGTTTTTAACTCACCTGAGTCGAAGGCTCAGTGAATCAGTGTGTTTGCATTTCTTTTTCAGACTGAATTTGCTCTGCCAGAACAATTCAAAACAACCTGGGATGGCAAGAAGTTTGTCACAGTGCAGACAGATATAGTGTAGGATAATAGACACTGTAGGATTAGGAAAGGGTTCTCGCACCATTCCATCACATCACGGACCATGCTTTACATGATGCCTGAAATGACATCCAACCAATTGCTAGTATTCAATATTTAAAATTAGGGAAAAAGAGATAATTCAGTATTTACTTGTTAAGATTGAAAGTTTTGGGTTTCCAGAACTCTATAAATGATATGTTATGATATATGCAACTGATTTTTTAAATATTTGATTTGTATCGACTTATTATTGAATTGTAAACATATTTTGTTCAGTCTGCATAATGATGCAGAAGACTTTGAAATACTTAAGATTATTTTCATTATTTTTAATATGAATTGTCTTTGTTTTGCTGTAATAACAGTGAATGTGATTTGCTTAGGGGATTTTCAGAAAGGAATGAATGTATCGGTGCTCTGAAAATTATTTTTAATTGTGTAATGAACAAATCAGAACTAACGGTGCTATGAACTTGGATATTATCAAAGTTATTGTCTCAGAATTTTGGCCTTTATTATAAAGGCATGAATTTTGAGAAAGCCAAATGTGAAGAAATTTTCGTTACATATCGACCATTATGAGTGTTAAGGCAAATCCATGTACATTTAGTTTCAGCAAATATTTTAGTAATATCTTTCTTTTTTTTTTTATTCTCATGTATGCTTACTCACATCACTAATAAACTCATTATAGGATATTGTTTTGTTATTTTTGATACTTATTATGTATTCTTGTGGGTTTTTGTTTATTATGGAGCAGAATTTATTTTTCAAAACTTTTACATAAAAGTGTGAAGTATTTATTTTAGTGTAACCGAAGCTGTTTACATGACTGCTTTCTTTTCTGCCACCACAATAAGCCTAAGTTTAGAAAAGAACATTGATGTTCCAAAAGGACTTTATAAAAATGCATAATTACAGTGGAGCATTGATTTGGTTTGAATTTGTCCTTTGACATTCACCTGATATAACATTTAAAAATTTCGTCCCGATGATATTTCACTTGATACCTGATGTATATAAAAAAAAAAGTACAATGCTATGCCGTTTGACAATTTGATATATTGATGATATTTCACTTGATACCAGATGAAATAAGGATAACAACAGAAAATATAGATCTTTAAAAACGTCAAATATTTGATCATGTGCCATGAAGGAGTAAGCATCCTCTTTCCACAGTCACACCTGCATTGTACTCGTTATAAGTAGGCAATCTGTACATAATTCAGTGTGAAAATATAATAGACTTCCAAATTTGATTTGAACCAGCAGAAGAGAAAAAAAAGATGGGCATTTAAAACTTTAAAAATATGACAAGGTTTTTCTTAAAATGTAATGTAAACTTTTGAGGAGAAGGAGCTCAAAAGGGGGACATATGGAAATTCATCAGTCCATAGCATGAGATATAAAAATTTGTGTAAAGAGCCACAAACTAGCATGTTTCATCAAAAATGGGATTGAACTACATGTATTAAAAACATAAACTTAAAAAAGAAACAGAGTAAAATTTTAGTGACATATCCAACACAAACGTGTTTCACTATACTGGCAAAAATTGATGTTACTTGGCTCTCAATCACCGGAAATGCTTTCTCCTCTTCAAGGCACTTGATTCAATCTCTGGTGTTTCACTAAGAAGATATACTTCTAATCTGCAGGAATCTTGTATTCATAGTTTGACATGAAAGAAAAAATGTTATATTACTTTGAAAACCCTTTCAGATGAGTGTTTTGATGAAACATTTACAGAAGGCCGTCCTTTCGTCCTTTACATAAATATAATTATATAGTATATATCTGCATGTATATATTGTAAAACACTTATGCCCCTTCCCTAAATAATTAATTCTAAGTCCAAGGGTCAAAAATAGCTCGATTGTACCCAAAACATAACTTGACCTAGATATTTTTATGTAAATCTGTATACCGAATTTCAATGTGTGCAACCTCTGCAAAGAAAATGAACGTAAACTGCAAATTATTGGAATTTTTCTAAGTCCAAGGGGGCATAACTCCGTCCAAAATGGCCCGATTGTACCAAAAACAGAACTTGACCTAGATATTCTTATGATAAATCTGTATATCAAATTTCATTTCATTATGTGCAACCGACAGACAGCAACAAAGCAATACATCTATGTCCTCCCTTCTTCGAAGGAGAGCATAAAATCACGAAAATATGTGGTTGACATGATTAACCGGTTTATCAATCAGTCTTCCGATTAAAAGTAGCAATTCTGTATTCGATTTCCACCCAAATTATGTATGTATTCTCAACCTTCTTAGATTTTTTTGGAGTACAAAAAGTTTCTATTTTAATGTCATGTGTGGTGTTTAAAAGCCTTTACATGGTATCGAATCACAGACCATGTCCTTCTTTAATCAGTTTATAAAATCTCAGTGCTCTCCACTTTTATTCCGGTCAATGACTTCGACTTCAATTTTCTTTATATGTAACTTTACAATTTTCATAATTTTAATAGGCAACTCTTCATTTAACTTCACAAGTCATCAAATACAACAATGTTAGAAGAAATAAAAAGACCATTAACATTTTAGGGAGAAACACGATCTGCGATGAGGCAAGAAACAACGCCTTATTTAAGGTTCCTATGCTTTGTGCACACATAATAACTGAATTATATAATGAAAACACACTAGTATCCGGGAACTAGTGAAAAAATTAAAATAACTTGAAATGTAAAATATAATTATCTATTCAAACGAATACACTTTTATATTTTTTAAGAAAACGAAAACTTTCAAATGAAAAATAAGTTTAACAACATTTTATTTGAATGGCAAATTAAACCATCTCATGGAAAATATAGCCATATTTCGTTAATTTTTACCTCGTCGGTTATTATTAGACCTATTTTTGGGTTCATGTAAGGCAAAATTTATTCAAAAAGTTCTACATGCAAAGAAAAAGCCGATGGCCTTGGCCTTCAGTTAATTCGATATTTTGACATATTGACAACTTGCTTCTTATCAATTACTGAATTTCTTTTTCATATTTAGATTGCTTCGATATCTCTATTTGGACTTGAAATAAAAGAAACCACAGAGTCCGGAGCATCTGTTTAATATTTTTTATATTTACTATATTGATAGCAATCTAAAATGAAAACGTAATGATAAACTTGATGACTGTGTGTCAGACTCTGTAGTATCTTTTATCACAAGCTCACTAGGATATATCGTATCGACATAAGATTGGAAATTACCATTGTTAATTGACAATACGTCGTCGATATATCTAATTATTATACCTCTACCGATTTTTCACTATATAAAAGTAAATCGATATATTTTGCTGATTTCCTGAAAATCACCGTGAATAAACCGATTCCCTGCAAAACCGACTGATTCCCTGCAAAAAAAAGTACGTTTTTTTAATGAGCTGATACACACCTATTCGGAACACTTTGCATTTTCTTTAAACTTACGACAAACTTAGATATGTTCCGAATAAACTCATGAATATTCATTATGAATCGAAATGCATTGCGAGTCAACTGGTCCCAGATCTATCAAAAAGAACCAGTTTACTGGTAGCAAACGACAACAACACTGAACATGGCGAGCAGATTTGCGGAACTAGGAGACGACGATTTAGACAAATTACTGGATATGAGGGACAGTAAGAACACTAAACGAATTATAAAAGCATCATTAGAAGTACTGAAAGCATACATGTTAGAGAAAAATATGAATTTTGATGAATGCATCTCGTTTTCTACGGAAGAAATGGACTGTCTCCTAAGGAAATTTTACGCGGAAACCAAGAGAGTTAACGGCGAAGTTTATGCAAAGAAATCTATGATTTCGCTTCGTTATGGACTACAGAAACATTTTTTGAAAACAAGAAAAGAAGATATAATCAATGACGAAGCTTACAAAACCTCCAACGAAATGTTTAAGGCTGTTCTCGTTAAACTGAAGAAAGATGGTGTCGGTGAATCAAAACAGAAGGAGCCAATTACGCCAGAAGATTTATCCAAGCTATATGACACAGAATTTTCAACAGAAACTCCTACAGCACTACAGAAAAAGACAATATTTGAATACATTTATTATTTCTGTAATAGGGGGCGTGAGAACATTAGGGAACTTCAGAAAGAGGACTTTACCATTTCAACAGATTCCACAGGAAGAGAATATGTCACTGTCAGAGAAAGACAGACAAAGAACCATAGGGGGGATGATTTAATGGACACCTCTGTAAAACAGGGAAGGATGTATGATCGTCCTGGTGTGTACAAATTTATTTACAAAATTTTGCTTAATTAAACATGTTATAAATGTGTATCAGTTTAATGTTAAATTTTTGTGCTATTTACTAACAGTATCCATGTAAATAAAACAAATTTTAAAATCTGAAACCTTATTCAATCATCATTCATGATCAATGCAAGTAACCAATTGTAATTTGTGTATACTTGTTTTTTTCAGGAGATCCCAATTGTCCTGTAGCATCGTTTAAGAAATACCTTGGCAAGCTTCATCCTAATAATCCGAACTTCTGGCAGAGGGCAAAGAGAAAATTTGATGAATCTGATGAAACATGGTACGACAATTCCCCGGTTGGGAAAAACGCTCTGTATGCATTTATGGCAAATCTGAGTGCAGAGGCTAAACTCAGTAAACGCTACACTAACCACTGCATTAGAGCAACGAGTATATCAACATTAGACCATCAGGGAATTGAAGCAAGACACATCATGAGTGTGAGTGGCCATAAAAATGAAACATCAATCAAGTCTTATAGTTCCAAATTGAGTGATCAGAAAAAACGCGAAATGTCGGACATTCTTGGTAAAAACATACATTTCTCTAAAACTGTGTCTACAGTGCCATCAACATGTGATCCGCCTACCACCAACGACGCACGTTATCCACAGCTCGACTTCCTTGAATGCGACATAGTCAAGGAATTGCTTGAAAATGATTTTTCTCTGGATCACGTGCCATGTGATAGTCTTCCTTTGAACACAAGCCTGACAAATACACTCTCGAGTAACACCAACCAGTTCAAATTTTCAAACTGTAATGTAACTTTCAATTTTACAAAGTAAAAAACTCAGACATTTAGACAACGAACTGATTTATTGATTCCTTTTATCAGTCACTTGTTGTATTTTGTTTTATTGTTATTTTTTATTCTGTTGGAATTAAACATTGTTACAGTATTGAATATAACTTTTCAAATGTTTTGTTTGTATCGGTATAATAAAACAGTTAATATATCATTGAGGATCTTAACAAGTTTTCCCCTCGAGCAGCTTTTCCCTGGCGCAAGCGCCTCGGGAAATAGACTTGCTCTTGGGGAACTGGAATCTTGCTGACTCCCTCAATGATATACTTTAACTGTATAATGTCGAGTTGAAGGCCACAGCAAGTGTTTTCTTCTTTTCACGCATACGATTTTTGCACAAATTCTGCTTCATGTGAATACAAAAATAGGTCTGCTAATAACAGGGCGTAATTAGTACCCATGGGAAATCCAATAAATTCTTGGAAGACCTGGTATCCAAAAACAATAAATAATGTCCTTGGTGCTCGAAAAGAAGCAAAAGACGTCTTTCGATGATTTAGTCTTCATGATTTAGCTTATTAATCTCTTTTAATTTAAATATATGTCCGTAACATTTTTTATCCAATTTCTGATTCTTTTTCGAACTCATTTTTGAGTATGACCCTTAGTATACTGGAAAATGGCAGATCCAATGATTTCCTGGACTTGTTTCTTCCTTCTGAAAAGTGTTTTAACAAGTTTGGAAAAAGAAACAAGTGAAAAGGTCAAAGATCTGGCGAATATTGTTAATGTGAAAAAACATTAACTTTCTGTTTATCCCGAAAACCCCTATACTCTTCAGGGCGTGCGGGTTTGGACGCTGTCATGAAGACATTTAATGTAGTGGATACCTGATTCTGGGTCCTCCCTCTAATAAACCTTTCGATTTTTGGCAAAAAATTTGCTTTCTAACCTCCTCCAGAAATTTAACTGTCTCCCCGAATACAAATTTGAACAACAATACCACTAATATTTAAAGGAACTTGGACACAGATTTGAAGTTATTATTTTCTCTATAATATTACGACTTATATATTTTAATAGCATTTCACACAACAATTAATTAAAAGTCTTATTTCATATAAAAGATGTTAAAATTTCAAATTTTTTGGCGGGTTTGATTGACACATTCTTGCACTTTTACAAATTATTTTTATTCTTAATCCTTAGGAAAAGTGGCAATGTGATTGTGTATACATGAAAAATATTAATACTATAATCCGGAAAATTCAGAGTAGACATGTTTGAAAGCAAACAAACAAACAATATATTGTCAGTCCGTGCAGTTGTGGTAAGCAGACTGTGACGATTGAACGCACGCGGTGAATTGTAAACATCAACAAAAACAGAACTCATGTCCTGTTAACAAAAACTGTGTACATAACTCGAGTGTGCTCGATTTGCTAAACCCTGTACGCAACTCTTAGTTCGGAATGACGATACTTGTGAAGGAGTTTTGCTTTCTAACATTTCTACTCTGAATAAAATTATTTTTCTGGATAAAAGTTTTAATATTTCTCATTAATACACAACAAGATTGCCACTTTTTCTAAGGATTAAGAATAAGGTTAAATTTCGTGAAAGTGCAAGCATGTGCCAATCAAACCCGCCGAAAAATTTGAAGTTTTAATATCTTTTAAATGAAATAAGATTTTTAATTAGTTTTTGTGTGAAATGCTATTAAAATATGTAAGTCGTAATATTATAGAGAAAATATTGACTTCAAATCTGTGTCCAAGTGCCTTTAAGACAATAGTACAAGCTGTCGTTTCCATTCATTTTTCAAAATATAGGATGACCTTTGAGTACTAAGCTTTTTTACCGTCAAACGTTTCTTAAAAACAGTGTAAACTACCCCCGAAATTATGTCTATCAAATTTGCTATGTTTCTGAAAGTCAATCATACATCATCAAATACTATTTCTGAAATTTGGCAAACAGTACATAAGTTGTTCCAATTTTTTGTTGGCAAGGATGGTACCCATTTCTGATGCCCATTATATAATTTTTTTTCATTGAAATCCACCTGCTCATTTGTCTATAAAACAGGCATCGGTTGCTGTAAATGTCACATATTTCAGTGAATATTTCTTTGGGATTTTTAACAAGTTTTACAGCAGCTTTAATGAAGCTTTTATTTTCACTCTAGTTTACTTATTCTTTTCCATTAATTTATAATGCAGTCTCGAATAGCCCTTGTTTTCCAGCTTCTCACAATGAAACTATGTGATGAAAAGTGGTCACATAAACTGTTATAAAATCATTAAAGATTAAATAATGAGAGAAAGTCAAACTTAATGTCAAATGATATCTGTATTGTATGTCATACAGTTCAGGACATTATTTATTGAACAGCCCTCGTAGATATTGTCAATCAGAAACTCAAGCATCTTTTTGATGTCGACTTCAGAGTACTTGTGTCTACAATCAGAATGCTTTTTAACAAAATAATTTTCAAATGACCAGTGACAAGGTAAGTGAGTTTGCGAGTTCCATTTTCATTAAAAAAAAAAAGAAAAGCAGCTATCAATGATATCGGAATGCCCGGACTTTAATTTATCGTGAGAAATGGTTGTGAATAAATTTGAAAAGTCGTGTTTTATTATAAGCTGTTGATTTTGGTAAATTTTTATGATTTTAAATTGTCCAAAAGTTCCTTAAAATTTTTAAATATGCATATCTGATTCAAACCACTTTTTGAATATATTGTTGCACATTACTCTTAAAGTTTCTCCTTCACTACTGTTAATTCTTAGTGAGGAGTAAAGAAAGAGGCTTGGATGAACATTTACTGGAACCCGCTATGTATCTTTGTTTGTGATGATTCTCATGAAGTTTCGGAATTCAATATACGAGGACTTTTCAATAAATAATGTCCTCGGTGCTCGGAAAGAAAAAAAAAACGTTTTTCAATGTTTTAGTCTTAATGATTTCACTTAATAAATATTTTCTTTTAATTGAAACACACATCCTTCAGTGAGTTTTAATGAGGTGTTAAATTTCACTTTAGTTTACTGATTCTTTACCATTCATTTTAATGTAGTGTCTCGAATAGCCCTTGTTTTCCAGCTTCTCATATTGAAACTACCAGGTATGTGATGAAAAGTGGTCACATAAACTGTAATTAATTCATTAAAGATTAGAGAAAGTCAAGCTAATTGTCATATGATTTCTATGTTGTATGCCATAGAGTTTAGGACATTATTTATTGAACAGCGCTCGTGTATGGTGGTTCAAAATTCATTTTGATTCTTTGGTATATTAAAAATGTTCAAAACTGACGTACGATGAAAACTGTTGTTAATTGATGAAATGTCTGCATGTTTTCTCGAGGGCTACGGAAAACACATCTTTCAGAATCAGTGTGATTTTAACTGAGATTTTGTTGATAAATACCCAAAATATGAAAATGTCCTAGTTCCTTTTTTTTTTTTTTTTTTAGAAGAGACAGTTGTTTATGATACAAAGAAACATAAACTTTTAATTTATCGCGAGATATTGTTGTAGAAGGTTTACAAAAGTGGTACGTTTTGTTATCGACTTTTGAATATAAATTTTCTCACTACCGGTGAAGTTTTCAATAGGTTAGAGAAAATTGTATACCGGTATTTAAATAGCGCACAGAAAGTTGTGTGCGGGGATTCATTTCTCAAAATTCATAATTCAATATGTAGTACACAAATTAAAATTGATTTGAAAATAAATATTAGACCTCCGTCAACTTCTGCCGATTAATGCAATCAATAACTTTATTTCGAGAAAAAAAAAACTTATACTATCCCTTCCTTAGGATGTTATTTTATGACCGCAATACAGACAGAGAACTGAAGGTCGCCTGAATCATTAAAAAAAAATAATAATGCAAATCTCTTCGGTATTAAAGTTCTTTTTTCATCTAAACATATTCAAGTATCAAAACATCCAATGGTAATTTTACAATCACTCAAAGTTTGCATTAGTTCAACACAACTGATTTACGAGTCCTCTTCAGCACACAGCCCCCCGTGACATTTGTAGCCTTTGGGACACTGACTGCATTGCTGCCCCGGAATGTAAGGTTTCCTTCCCCTCCAGTTACCCCTACAACACGTTAATAATAATAATCATTATACAAATGTCATAAACAAACTCGTCAACTTCGCGTCAATAAATGTTCGATATATTTCTGATTTTGCATGCCCTGTGCCTAAGGATATGCTGCTGCGCGAATCATGTATGGCTTGCTGGAACAAATTATTAATATTTGTAAACTAATTAAAAATTTTGTTAAGAAGTATGAGTAAAATCCTGAACTTCATCCAAAGTTTAAAAGAGGTGCTAGGACTCTATAATGACCATCACAGTAAAGGAACGGCCAATCATCACTCACTTATTGAGCACTGCAGTTTGATTTTTGTCGTCGGCCACTGGAAAATCCGATATTTTAATTTATTTGACTTAATAGTGTTTGTCGATGGTTGTATGATGATTGAGAGTTGGTAGAACATTCAATGCTTTAGTTGAAGAATCGGTAGTGGATGAGAAAGAAAACAAATATATATATATATATATATATATATTGGTCCGACGATGCAAAATAAGACATAAAAAGAGATCAAAATCCGAAGAATGCCACTTTTGGCTTTTATATCCCACCAAATAAAAAAAAAATTTCTTCATGTATTTTTCCTCTCCAGATATTTTTTATTCGAGGTTTATTGGGGAACAATCAGTCACTACTTACCTCGGTCCGTAGTTACATACATAGTTGTAACCGCCTCTTCCGCGAAAGAAAGCCGGACAAAACGCTTCAGCACACCCGATATATTCCGAGTCAGCCCATACTGCCTACAGTAGGAAAATTCTATATTTATACGTGTATCAGATGAACCAGCTTGCATCTTTTGCTTTTCTATCGTAATCTTTCCTTACATGTATTTATGTAGTAATATTCCGGTATCACCTATTCATATAGTGTTTCCATCTCCCTTCACAAGACCTCCGGTGAACATAAACTTTATTTTCTCTACATTGGTCTAAAAATAGACCGAGCTTTGAAATTAATACTAGTACTATAAGTAAAAAAGTCATCTTTCCTGCACTCAACGTTCCACTTGAACAAAATTATAATGGTACTTTTCTTAAGATAGTCCGATCCTCAGCTTTATAAGATTAGCAGTTAAGTAATCAAAAATACTCATAAAAGTATCTCTGAATCCACAAAAATATGTAAATTTATCCACAGTATTTCTTTAAAGATAAAGATTAAAAGTTAATCAAATTAATTTATATAGGGAAAATTGTCAAATCACCAATATTTTTGCAGAAAAAGCGAATTGGAATTGATCAAAAAATTTATTTTAGGCTAAAAAACGATATGTATCCAGGCATTCAGAGAAATTGTCTTGATTTTATACTTATTTGGTAATTTTTGTCTTCTATTTCCGTCATGTATTCTATAATACATTGTTTAAAGGCTTTTGCTATCATTGTAAGAAACCATCAGTTCTCATTTCATATCATATTAATTAATAAGCATTGATATCTAAGGCTGGATTCAAGAAAATTCTATTTCTCTAAAACTGTATCAATTTTTTTCCTTTTAAAGGGTAGAAATGTCAACTTTTATAAGATTTTTTCTAAGACTTCCAAAAACCTTGAATCTTATAAAGATGAATAAAATGAAAATTGCTGCATGAAAAAATTTCATTTTCAAGTTTCATTTCAGATTTCAAATTAAATATTCATTTTTTGGAGTTATCCTTCCTGACTGAGGATCGGATATCCTTAATTAGGCCAAAAATAGGCCGCGAGTTCAAGTTAGCAAGGATTTCAACAAAATTAATGAAATATATGGTATCAAAGTTAAAAGTCCATCAAACAATACAAATTGGAGCATAGCAAACACAGACCTCCAAAACATCAGACGGGTCGGGTCAGGTGCCATGGAGGAGTGAGCATCCCCTGCCGACCGGTCACACCCGCTGCGTGCATGCTTTTTTTCATGATCGGGAAATAACAGAAATTCCGTTGACAATTCATTGTGTATATAATGGACTAAAATTAGTGTGAATACGTCAGTCAACATTTGACTTTATGACAAAATGTATTTGCTGACAAAGTCGTTGTATCGACCATAGAACTTAGAAATGATGACTTTAAACGAGACTGCTGAAATTCTTGTTTAAGCAACTTGTTTGTCAATAATTTACCTCTTCCTAGAAATTAATAAGTAGAGCACGTTCTTGCGTATCGAATCAAGTGAGAGACACAAACCTCGTTTGAAGGTGATAAAGGTATATTTAATGAATCACTGTCTAGTAAGTGAAGTATGCCAGGGCATCAACGATAGCTGGAAACGTGGAATAATTTGCATAACGGGCGAAGTCCGTTATGCATAAATTATCCCATGTTTCCAACTATTGTTGATGTTCCTGGCATACTCTATTAGCTAGACAGTGATTCTTTATATTTCCATTTCACTGTGACATAAAATTGTAGATTTAGATTTCAAAAATGTAGACTAATAAATTTAAATTACAAGAGGCCTCCCATATCAATTTCAATAGAACTTTGCGTTGCCCATTGACGTCAAACACAAAGAGAACCGCTCGAGGTTTACATGCACATTAGGCCTCCTTGGTTAAGACACAGAGAAAAACGCGCACGAGATCTAAGTACATGCATATTAGGCCTCCCTAGCTCCTGCCTATCGCGTTGCCTAATTTACATTCCGGTAGAATTTTCAAGAAATCAACTCCATTAACTTTCAAAGAGTTATCACAGAGAAAACAAATAGAAATGGAAATATTGCTAATATTGCTATTATAAGGGAAGTTGACGCTTGAAAAGTCACCAGTAGTCATCACATTTATCATAAAGTTTGGTTGTTAAATTACCATTCAAGCCTTTTTCTAGTAAAATATCTAAATATGAAACAGGTATGTCATACTCTGTGGTACATCTTTTATTTCGAGTTCACCGGGATACTAGTGTAGAATGGAATTAACCATTGTTGATTGAAAATACGTCGTCGACAATCTGAATGTCGAGTTAAAAGCCACAGCAATTGTGTTCTTGACATATATAAGATTCTGCTCAATATGATAACAAAATAGGTCTGGTTATAACGGAGTGCAATTGGTACTCATGGGAATTCCGATAGATTGTTTGAATACATGTTCTCCAAAAACCGCATAGATATTGTCACTCAAAAACTCAAGCATCTTTTTAATATCAACTTCAGATTACTTGTGTATACAATCAGAATGATTTTTAACAAAATAATTTTGCAAATGACCAATTATGACATGGTAGATAAATTTATTGAAAAAGCAGCTGTCAGTGATATCAAAAAGCTTTGAATTTAATCTTTTGTGGGGAATGGTTGTAAATTAAGCTGAAAGGTCGTAAGTCTTTGTGCTGTTGAATTTGGGGAAAAAATGTGGTTTTAAATTTTCCAAAAGTTCTTGGAATTTTTAAGTATCCAAATCTGAATTACACCACTTTTCGAATATTGTGTTGCACAGTACTTTTGAAGTTTCGCCTTCATTACTATTAACATTTTAATGAGAAACAAAGAAAGAGGCTTGGTAGAACATTTACTGGAAGCCGCTATATGTATCTTTGTTTTTAAGGATTTTTGTGAATTTTTAGAATCCAATACAGATATGGTAATTCAGATCTATTCTGGTTGTTGGGAATATTAAAAATCTTCAAAACTGACATTTGATTATTAAGAATTGAAAAATTTTGATTTATAATTTGCTTACTGCGTTTTTGCATTTAATTGTAAAACAGAATACATTTGTAATTGTATATTGTATCATACCTGTGTATAATGGCCACATACACCCGTGCACGAATCCTCATCAAAATCATAAAAAGCTTTCTCTTTGCACCAGCTGGCTACTGCTTCATAACCTGTTTTTTGACCTGAAAAGTTGGGTTGTTTATAAAAATTGCTAGCCAGAGTACAAAAGGTCTGGTTTTCTATTTATTTGGTTATAAGTGACATAAATGAAATTTGTATATAAAAAAAGACATCGGGTTAAACATGTGCATTGAAAGCTTCTAATTAAGAGAAGTTCTGTACATTTAACTATTTGATTGAATATACCGGTGTTGTTGAATACAACCATACCACCATTTAAAAGAAACCCCACATACATACGGGTACTTCTGTGTATGTTCTCGCCAATCTTTCTGAAATGCCGGGTCTTCCTGTTACGATTGTGTCCCCTTATACATGCACTGGCCCAGGTTTGGGCGAGAGAAGCTAATTCGTCACTCCATTTCTAAGGAATATTTCATTTTATTTTCAGATTTCATTTTATTGAAAAAACATATATCGAGGCATCACAGGCATTTGAAGTTACGTATTTTTTTTTATTAAAAAAAACCCACACAAAATTCACGTAAATCTTATAAGGTATTTTCTTTCTTTTTTTAAAAAAAAAAAAGAAGAAAATAACGTCAAGCTACTGTGTTTCATATCACTTTCAAAATTTCTTAAATTGTTATTTATTTAAAATAATAAGATAAAGATAAAATTAAGGTGTTAATGTCATTTTGATTTTTTAATTATTTACAACTATTTGTACACATTAACTATTTAAATCAACTTCCAGTTTTAAAATATGCTTTTAGTAGCTTGGTAGTTGAACAGATTAAAAATTAATAGTCAAAGAAAGTTATGATAAAATGTGCCTTACCATTTCTTTCATGTTAGCAGCATTTTCAAACCGCCTTGCAAGGTTATGGGCCTAAAACAAAATTAAAACCACCTCATTTCATAATGAATAATTGTGCAACGCATTCTCCTTACATTTGTTGCCTTTACTCTTTTGGGATAGATTGCGAGATCTAATAAGATACATATGCCTACTATATGTCAATTTTTTAGCGAGATCCATCTCGACAATTAAAAATTTATAATCAATTAATAAGCATTAAAAAAAGATAACCTTCAAAAATTCGTGTCGTTCCAGAGGTTGAACTTCAATGATAAATCCCAGAATTAGAAAAACGAATACTGCGGCCATAATCAGCTGATAGAGAATTGATGTTTACAATAAATAGAAGCTTTTATATTTACAAAATAATATCTGTTTTTCTTTTATGTTAATAGTTGATAATAAAAATCAAATGTCATACAAGTAGTCGAAAATGAAACCACGAAAAAAGAAATCTGTTGTATAAATTATTCTCACGCCTGGAGACCCCATTGTATTTATTTAACATATTATTTATCCTTAAAAATTAAAAACAAGGTCGGAACAAAGTAACAAATATTGATTATAAGTTTATTTTTCTTCATCCAATTTCATGATGCATTCGAAGATTTAATTAGTTTAACAATTGTTTGGAAGGCTACGAATCCTTTTCTGGTATCATGATATACATGTACATGTATATACACGTGTACTTTGTATTTATCTTCACCCAGTGTATCAAATATTTGCACAAATTAATTTAGGTTTATTAGTCATTCCCTTCAATGCCATTCGTTTAAGGTTGTCCGATCCTCAGGTTTATAAAATTACCAGTTAAGTAATCAAAAATACTCATAAAAATATCTCTGAATCCACAAAGTAATGTAAATTTATCCACAGCATTTCTGTAAAGTTAAAGATTAAAGTTAATCATATTATATAGGGAAAATTGTTAAATCTCCAATATTTTTCCAGAAAAAGCGAATTGGAATACCAGCAATGCATTTTCTAATTGCAAATTAATCAACAAATATATTTTAGGTTAAAAAACGATAGGTATCCAGGCAATCAGAGAAATTGTCATGAATTTGATACTTATTTGGTATTTTTTGTCCTCTGTTTCCGTCATGTATTCTATAATACATAGAGTAAAAGGCTTTTGCTATCATTGCAAGACACCACAAATCACTTATTTTTTCATATCATGTGATAAGCATTGGTATCTAAGGCTGGATTCTAGAAAATCTTATTTCTCTAAAACTGTACCACTTTTTTTCTTTTGAAAGGGTACAAATGTCAGCTGTTATTAGACCTTTTCTAAGACTTCCAAAAACCTTGAATCGTATAAAGATGAATAAAATGACAATTGTTGCATGAAAAAATTTCATTTTCAAGCTTTATATTGATGCATTTTAAATTAAATATTAATTTTTGGAGTTATCCTTCCTGGCTGAGGATCGGATATCCTTAAATTTTTTTATCCATTAATTATGAGGGCTGTTCAATAAATAAGTCCTCGGTGCTTGGAAAGAAACAAATAAAGTTTTTCAATGATTTTGTCTTAATGGTTTCACTTAACTATTCTATTTTAATTAAAACATATGTCCGTAACACATGTTTATCCAATTTCTGATTGTTTTTATAACTCATTTTTGAGTATTGCCCTTCTTATACTGGAATGTGGTAGATCCTATGATTTCCTTGACTTGTTTCTTCTTTCTAAAAGTTTTTTTCTCAAGTTTGGAAAATGAAACAAGTCAAAGGGTGAAAGATCTGGCGAATATTGTTGGTGTGACAAAACATTAACTTTCTGTTTATCCCCAAAACTTCTTTACTCTTCACGGCGTGTGGGTTTGGACGCTGTCGTGAAGAAATCTTATGTAGTGGATTCCTCATTCTGGTTCCATCCACTCATAAACATTTCGATTTTTTGCTAAAAAATTGCTTTCTAGACTTCTCCAGGTATTGAACTTCCTCCTCAAATAAGAATTCAAACAACAGGACTACTAATATTGAAGAAAATGGCATCTAAAACGTTTTTTTTTTCTTTTACAATTCTTTGCTCTTCTCATACCTTGGCTGATTTTGTCATGTATATCTTGCTGTAAATTTGTTTTGAGGGTTTAAAGCAATGGATTAAAGTTTCACTATCTGTTTGAATTTCAGACAAACGTGGATTACTTCATTTTTTGATTTTTTAAAATAATTGTTTAGATATTCTTACACGCTGTCGTTTTCACTTATTTTTCATAACATAGGGTGACAATTGAGTACTAAGCTTTTTTACTGTCAAATGTTTCTTTAAAACAATATAAACTACCTCCAAAATGATGCCTTTTAATTTTGCTATGTGTCTATTAAAGTAAATCAAACATCATCAGTGATAACTTTTTGAATTTTGGCTAACAGTACATTGGTTGTTGTATGTCTTTGTCGCCAAGAACGGTATCCATTTTTGATGCCTAGTATATCATTTTTGTTCATTAAAATCCACCTGCTCATATGTCTATAAAACAGGCATTGGTTGCTGTAAATGTCACATATTTCAGTGAATATTTCTTTCGGATTCATTACGAGTTTTACAGCAGCTTTCATGAAGCGTTTAATTTCACTCTTGTTTACTGATTCTTTACCATTCATTTTTAATGCAGTGTCTCGAATAGCCCTTGTTTTCCAGCTTCTCACAATGAAACTATACGAAGAAAAGTGGTCACATAAACTGTAATCAATTCATTAAAGATTCAATAATAAGAGAAAGTCAAGCTTTATGTCATACGATTTTCATATTGTATGTAATTGGGCTCAGGACATTATTTATTAAACAACCCTCTTACATTAAAATATATTCAAACCAATCCACATGACCCTTATATTCACACTGCCATGGTAGAATTTTTAAAAATATTTTGATCACTCAGACTGATAAGGAGAAACGATGGATCTTTGAGAAAATTAATTATCCCAAAATAAAGGACTAAAATACAAGTAACACATTTCTTATCATAAATAAAAAAGCCCCAATCATATGATAATTATATTATTGACCTTTCTTTTCATAAATAGAAAATTCATCATACTATAATTATTATCTTATAATTTTTTGATTTATGAGAATAACAATTTTATTGTCAATCTATCTTTTCATTAAAAAAAACCATGCTATAGTAATTATATTATCAACCTTTCTTTTTATAAATAAAAAAAATCCCAATATTTAAATTATTAAATTTTTTTATAAATAAAAATCCCCCATGTTATAATAATTAGAATATGGGGACTTTTATAATAATAAAAACGTTAAAAACGTAGTAAAGTGTTTGTGGAGTAATAGGACGCATTTTAAAGAAATAGACCATATTCAACATGTTGCAATATAATGTAATAGAGGATAAGTCCTTTAAAAACTAGAATAAAGTACTTCATGATAAAAGACAAAAAAGGTCTATTTTCACTTGAAAATACATGTATTTCTACTTTGCCCGGTATTTATATACCTTGTCTTGTGTTGGCAGACATCCGTTTTAACTTATCATATATAAAACAATTTGATGCATTCCCTTTAATTTTTCCATACTTGAAAAATTTCCAACCTAAAAGTTGATACATAAATTTAAAAAAGCATCCAGATTTGAAAGGTTATGAAAATTATCGAAAAAAGCAAGATAATATTTTATACATTAACCAGTGATGCATTTGAAATTGTAAAAACTGAACCAATTACAAGGTAACAAATAAGTGGACACATATTTTTTTTTCAAAAGTTATCTCTAAAATAATTTATTTTTTTTTATCAAAAGGTTCAATGCACTGCAATTCGAATGTTTATCAAAATTGAAAACAAATACAGTACAAAGTAAAAAAAGTGATGTTACATCTACAAAAAAAAAATTAAAAATCGAAAGTTTACGACACATTTTATATACTAATATTTCTTTCTATTTTGATAATTGCCCTAAGTTTCATTTAGATGTACGCAATACTTAATGAAATATATATTTAAACAAGAGGCCCATGGGCCACATCGCTCACCTGAGAAGCTTTGACCATTCTGTTCTTTACCAGATTTCCCCCTTGTTATACATAATGCATCCCCGCCCTACCCCACTGATCATAATTTAGACATTTTGAAATCTACACTACCCCATGATCCTTCCATGGGCACATATGTTTCAGCTTTTTTGGCCCAGTGGTTCCTGAGAAGAAGATTTTCAAAGATTTTTCCTATATATTTCTATGTAAAACTCTGATTCCCTATAATGGCCCCGCCCTTCCCCCGGGGGTCATGATTCCTACAATTTAGAATTTACACTACCCCAGAATGCTTCCACATAAGCTTCACTTTTTCTGGCCCAGTGGTTCTTGAGAAGAAGATTTTCATAGATTTTTCCTATATATTTCTATATTAAACTTTGATTCCCCATTGTGGCCCCGCCCTTCCCCCGGGGGTCATGATTTGAACAATTTAGAATCTACATTATACCAGGATGCTTCCACATAAGTTTCAGCTTTTCTGGCCCAGTGGTTCTTGAGGAGAAGATTTTAAAAGATTTTTCCTATATATTTCTATGTAAAATTTTGATACCCTATTGTGGCCCCGCCCTTCCCCCGGGGGTCATGATTTGAACAATTTAGAATCTACACTACCCCAGAATGCTTCCACATAAGTTTCAGCTTTTCTGGCCCAGTGGTTCCTGAGAAGAAGATTTTCAAAGATTTCTCCTATATATTTCTATGTAAAACTTTGATTCCCTATAATGGCCCCGCCCTTCCCCCGGGGGTCATGATTCCTACAATTTAGAATTTACACTACCCCAGAATGCTTCCACATAAGCTTCACTTTTTCTGGCCCAGGGGTTCTTGAGAATAAGATTTTCAAAGATTTTTCCTATATATTTCTATATAAAACTTTGATTCCCCATTGTGGCCCCGCCCTTCCCCCGGGGGGTCATTATTTGAACAATTTAGAATGTACATTATACCAGAATGCTTCCACATAAGTTTCAGCTTTACTGGTCCAGTGGTTCTGGAGAAGAAGATTTTCAAAGATTTTTCCTATATATTTCTATGTAAAACTTTGATTCCCCATTGTGGCCCCGCCCTTCCCCCGGGGGTCATGATGTGAACAATTTAGAATCTACACTACCCCAGGATGCTTCCACATAAGTTTCAGCTTTTCTGGCCCAGTGGTTCTTGAGGAGAAGATTTTAAAAGATTTTTCCTATATATTTCTATGTAAAATTTTGATTCCCCATTGTGGCCCCGCCCTTCCCCCAGGGGTCATGATTTGAACAATTTAGAATCTACACTACCCCAGAATGCTTCCACATAAGTTTCAGCTTTTCTGGCCCAGTGGTTCCTGAGAAGAAGATTTTCAAAGATTTCTCCTATATATTTCTATGTAAAACTTTGATTCCCTATAATGGCCCCGCCCTTCCCCCGGGGGTCATGATTCCTACAATTTAGAATTTACACTACCCCAGAATGCTTCCACATAAGCTTCACTTTTTCTGGCCCAGGGGTTCTTGAGAATAAGATTTTCAAAGATTTTTCCTATATATTTCTATATAAAACTTTGATTCCCCATTGTGGCCCCGCCCTTCCCCCGGGGGGTCATTATTTGAACAATTTAGAATCTACATTATACCAGGATGCTTCCACATAAGTTTCAGCTTTACTGGTCCAGTGGTTCTGGAGAAGAAGATTTTCAAAGATTTTTCCTATATATTTCTATGTAAAACTTTGATTCCCCATTGTGGCCCCGCCCTTCCCCCGGGGGTCATGATGTGAACAATTTAGAATCTACACTATACCAGGATGCTTCCACATAAGTTTCAGCTTTTCTGCCCCAGTGGTTCTTGAGAAGAAGATTTTCAAAGATGTTTCCTATATATTTCTATATAAAACTTTGATTCCCCATTGTGGCCCCGCCCTTCCCCCGGGGGTCGTGATTTGAACAATTTAGAATCTACACTACCCCCAGGATGCTTCCACATACGTTTCAGCTTTACTGGCCCAGTGGTTCTTGAGAAGAAGATTTTTTAATGACCCAACCCTATTTTTGTCTTTTCTTGATTATCTCCCCTTGCGAGGGGATATGTCCCTCCATTTTAACAATTTAAATTCCCCTTCACCCAAGGATGCTTTGTACCAAGTTTGGTCAAAATTGGCCCAGTGGTTCTTGAGAAGAAGTCGAAAATGTGAAAAGTTTACAGACGGACAGACAGACGGACAGACACACATTTGGTTATATATTGGGTACATCAAGTCCAAGTCCTATTGGATACTGCTAATTGGATACAAAAAAAGTGTACACACGAGAGAGCATTATTTGGGTAGTTACTGTTCAAATCTTATTGGATATTTATCCTCGTGTCCTTGTGTCCGTTTTTTCTTATTGTTTTTTATTCATTTCAAATTTATTATATATTTAATATTTGCTGGTAAATTCAGACAAGACTGAAAACCTTTGGTTTTGAACCCATATTTTTGTCAATTTCTGTGATATAGCTCTTTTATTGTAACACCTAACTTATTTGTTCTTAGCAAAAAGGATATACACCTGTATATTTCAAAATAACTAATATTAAAATATATGAATACCTAAGTGCAAAAAACTGAATTGTGAAAACACAACTCAACACATCTCAGACTCTGTTCAACCTTTCTTGAATAACATCATTAAGTATTTATAAGGAGAAACCTTTTTGAGTCATGACCAATTAATAATAAGCAAATGCCCATTCCATGTTAAACAGAATGAAGGTATCCAACAGGCATTGGACAGGTGTCCTATATCTGTTGGGTTGTATTTTAACGAAGGGATTAAACTACCCAAGAACAATTGAACATGTGTACATTGTCCAATTCTATTTGGGTTTCTTGAATCTCCTCATCAAAATACAACCCAACAGGTAATGGACACCTGCCCAACTCCTCTTGGATATCTACATCCCACCCAACAGGTAATGGACACTTGTCCAATTCTTCTTGGGTTTCTTGAATTGTTTCATCAGAATACCACCCAACAGGTAATGGACATCCGTCCAACTCCTCTTGGATATCTACATCCCGCCCAACAGGCAATGGACACTTGTCTGATTCTTGGGTTTCTTGAGAATCCCCTCATCAAAATACAACCCAACAGGTAATGGACACCTGTCCAACTCCTCTTGGATATCTACATCCCACCCAACAGGTAATGGACACTTGTCCAGTTTTTTTGAGTTTCTTGAATTGTTTCATCAGAATACCACCCATCAGGTAATGGACATCTGTCCAACTCCTCTTGGATATCTACATCCAACCCAACAGGCAATGGACACTTGTCTAATTCTTGGGTTTCTTGAATCTCCTCATCAAAATACAACCCAACAGGTAATGGACACCTGTCCAACTCCTCTTGGATATCTACATCCCACCCAACAGGTAATGGACACTTGTCCAATTCTTCTTGGGTTTCTTGAATTGTTTCATCAGAATACCACCCAACAGGTAATGGGCACCTGTCCAACTCCTCTTGGATATCTACATCTCACCCAACAAGTAATGGACACTTGTCCAATTCTTCTTGGGTTTCTTGAATTGTTTCATCAGAATACCACCCAACAGGTAATGGACACCTGTCCAACTCCTCTTAGTTATCTACATCCCACCCAACAGGTAATGGACACTTGTCCAATTCTTCTTGGGTTTCTTGAATTGTTTCATCAGAATACCATACAACAGGTAATGGACATCCGTCCAAATTCTCTTGGATAATGCATCCCACCCAACAGGCAATGGACACTTGTCTGATTCTTGGGTTTCTTGAGAATCCCATCATCAGAATACTACCCAACATGAATGGACACCTGTCCAACTCCTCTTGGATATCTTCTTCCCTTCAATAGTATATAAACTAAAAGGTATTGGACATTCTTCTTGGGTTACTCAATTTTTTTTTCATAAGAAAGAAAACCCAATAGGTATTGGACATTGGTTCAACTCTTCTTGGATATTACATCCCAACATTAGAATAAAACCCAACAGGTGATGTTTACCTGTCCAATTCTTCTTGGATTACTTATACCCTTCTTTAAAATTGTCAGATTTGTCTTGGATATTTATACTCTTGCATTAGATTGCAAACCCAATAAGTACGACATTTACCTTCCCTAGCTGAATTCAAATTTATCTGCATAAGCATACATAAGTCCAAAACATATTTAATACTTTAATTCTAACATTCCACATCTCATTCAGTGTACACTTCACAAATGATAGGAAATATATAAGCATTTTGTTCCTTAAACTATTTGGCTTTTAAAGAATTTTATAACCATGTTTGCAAAATTTAAATTTAAATATTGGAACTTGGAGCAAGTCATTACAGGTAGAGCAAGATGCTGAAAACCATATTGATAAATAGATCACACCCTTATAAAATATTTGCGTTGATTGTGTTGTATTAAATGGAAAATTTCTATAATCCTGTTTATTACAGATACATGTACAATGCATATTTTCCCTGTAATAATAAAAATACTTCTGAGATGTAAAAGAATGGATTAAATAGTCACCGATGTTAAAAGATATTACATGATCTCATTAATCTGGTTTGGAAATAACAAACTTAGTTTTGAAGCCGATAAAACAGTGTCGCACCAGAAAACTCAGTTACAAGTACAATGAATGAATTCGTTGTATCAAAACTTTAAAATAATTGATGCACTATGTCCTAATCTTTTCGACAAATCGGGATAAAGATATTAAATTAAATCATCACTGTTATAAGTCTTAGAGCTAGAGAAAAGTCATTACATGCCCAAATTTTACATGTAAGACTTTGATCCTATATTTCAATAAATGTCAAAATGGTTTTATTTTTTTTTTGTTTCTGTTCAATACTTTCTTCTTCAGGGTCTCTCATGGCCTATACTGTATGATACCTTCATTGACCCTGCTCTTTTATATTGCCATATGTTTATCCAGTAGCAGTGGCTATGCTCAGGCAATCTGTGAAATATTCCTCATTTCATGCATCTCCTTCAGTTCCGCCTCTGTCCATTTTATTCATTCTGCAATTAGATAAAGGCATTTCTTTGCCGTATAAAACATGTTTTTCTTGACTACAGCAAGATCACCCTTTATGTTGATCAAACCCAACCAAGAAGTAGAAGTATATTTCTTATTCAGAAATATGTAATGATAAATAAAATGGAAGAAAAACTAAATTCTATCAACTCTTTTTTTTTCTTCTATGTCTAACTGCATCTTCATCCTAACCCCCATCCGCCATAATTTTATCAAATTGGAATCATCATTCAACACACAAAACGATGTTGCATATTAATTAGACAGTATGTTAGTTTTTGATTGTTAAGAAGTACATTTTACACCTATTTCTTGCAAATTTTAGACTTCTAATGTAACACTATCAGTACATTAGGGGTACATAATCTGCAAAAACATCTTTACACTTAATGATAAAGCTTTCACATTAGTATTGTTTTTAGCCTAATGGTTCTGCTAAAGAGGATTTAAAATTGACCCAAACCTTACTAACTGCTTTGAAATTATATTGACAGGGACAGAGACACACTTGACACTCCACACCCCCTTCCTGGGGTATGCTTTGCACAAAATTTAATTAAAATTGACTAAGCTGGATAGAAGTTGAAAATATGAAAAATTACAGTCAAACAGATTATGAATAACTTTCAGCACATCAGACATGAAGTAGTGATCCTTAAATAAAATACACCTACAAGATGAAGCTGTTTTATTCCTTTGAAGTGATATCTAGTATTGTTTCTTTTCCTGTATGCCACCTCTATCAGAACAAAATGTTATACATGTATTAACATAACCTATGACCGTATAGTACCCCAGTATTTACTTTACAATTAATTAAGTTCTAGAACCAAACCTCAGATGCCCTTAAAACAAATGATTCTAAACTGGCAAAGGTAAAGGGCATCTGAAGAATTTAAAATATAATGATAGTACAAACAAGCAAACAGTGTGCATAAAAATGTTGGCAAACACTAGAAAAAATACTTAGGTACTTTCTCAAACTTAACATGAATACTAAAGAGGTTTAATGTAGCTGTATTGCACATACCAAAAGCTTTCCTGCAGTTAAAAGTTGGTTGCCTAGTATAGTTATGTAGTATGTACAAGTTTTCTCTTCTAATTTAAGAAGCGAAAATGTCTCTAAAAATCTTATGGTTGGTATGAAGTATTCCTGTTCATTTTACTGATTACTTACAATTGTCCTATTTCTGAGGGTCATCTTCTCATGGGTGTGTTCTCTGCAATGTTTACAATTGAAGTTCCTGTTTAACCTGTTACATATTGAAAATCCTCAATGAACATGATTATGGTTTTAATTTCCATTGTAATTATTGATTACTTTTATAAAAAAAAATCTAAACCAATTTATTGTAACATAATACCAAGAAAGATATTTATGTAATATAAATGCAAAAAAAAGAATCATTATCTCCAGTTATCCTGAAATCACAAGTAAACATTAATCATATAAATTCACATACGTAAACCCATTAGCTTTTTGTGCTATTAAATCATAGTCATCGCTGTGCAATAAAGGAAATCAAGTACTAATCCACTGCTTTGTGGCAATAAAGTTACTATCCCCGAGTAAAAAGTGACAAGCCCAAATATAGAGGCAAAAATTAAAAAGTAACATTGAAAAAAAGTTCATCGTGAAAAAAAGTCAGGGGTCCGTTTCATCAAAAGTCGTAAAGTTAAGCCTTAACTTAGGCGTACTTCCGGGGATTACGCCAAAATTTGTCTAGCGTAATTTGCGTTTTACCAAGTGGCGTAAGTCTAGTCGTAAAATATACGCTTAGTCACAGAACTAAGTCCTTGACAACGTTGCATTGCGCTGGCGCAAAAACATAAACATTGTCCAAAGCGTACAAACATGTATAAATTCCGTAGCACGTCAAAGTACAGAATAACACAAGTTATAGATAAATTAATACTTGCACTAATTGAAACATGCATGGGTTTATAGTGTTATGTAAGAGACATGATTTTTGGAAATTTAATTACAGCCATACCCCCTCTTCCCGAAATTGATACAGGTTAATAACTTCGCCTTTGATAATAAATTTCATGATTCGATAAATACTGATTCTACTGACAAATACTAATAATCAAGTTGGAGACAGAATACGATTTAAAAATTTTAATAAAAAATGTATATGCAAGCAAAAATAATGAAAACAAAATGCAAACGGTTTACATATGAACACATTTTGAGTCAAGAAATAAATTTTACAAGTTTACTACTATGGTATATGTAAGATAATCCTCTCTGTATTTATTAATTTTTTGTCAATTCAATTGATACATAATTGTTCAGTTATAGAAAAAAATTCTTTACTATCTGCAGATTAAATGCGATGTATCGTTTTAAAAGTACGCAGAGAGAGAGAGAGAGAGAGAGAGAGAGGTTTGGAAAAATGACTACAAAGATATTCTTACAAAAATTCTCTGCTTGTGTGGTCTCTGTCTTTAAAATTTAGTTACAGCTACTCTTTATTTTGTTTTCATTAAAATGTAAGTAATGCAGGAAATCAAAAAGATGTATATTTTCATCTTATATATGCTTTATATGCGCTCAGATTATCTTATACTATGTAAGATTTGCTCTTTTAAACAAAATTATGAAAATTAAAGATGTCTTCTGCATCAATGTTTGTCTGAGAAAACAAAATTAGGAATAATTTATTCTTGAACTTAACTGTGTAATTATCACCATCTTACATCGATATTATAAAAGCAATAATTTATTACCACTTTCAAAAATCTCTTATTGTCTATGAGACCCCAACCCCCTCCCTGGGTTGGGGTCTACATGATTCGCCGGGAACATCACTTGTCCCAGATACCTAGGAAAATAATTACTTTCGTCCTTAACTAAGTAATCTGTACATTCAATGTTAATTAATCTGCAAATTCGGGAGATTTTCAAGCGGGGTGTAGATATACAGTTATATTTGTAAATTGATCTACAATACCTTAGACATACAATACCACAACCAAATGTGTTTGAAGGCATTGTCAGAACGTAAGAAATCTCTAATAAGACCATCTTTTCTTCTCAGCAGAAATTTATCAAAATATTAATTGAGTACGTTATTACTCAAATCAACTACGTCCCCAAGTAGCTGTAACAACCACCCCCCGCTTCATAATATGTATAAATAAATAATGCATTTTTTGTATTTTGAATTCTTCTTAGAACCTTACTTTTTCTTTAGAACTCGCTAAAATTAATAAAAAGGCCTTATTTTAACTTTACGCCTTAACTTACGCCTACCCATGAGTAGACGTAAAATTTTGGCCTAAATTTAGTCAGGCGTAACGATACACTCTTTAATGAAATGCTAATATTCGTGCTAGTCCCGACTTTACGCCGGCGTAGCGCTACGACTGGGCGTACGACCTTTGATGAAACGGGCCCCTGGGAATTAACTACATATGATTCTTTTTAAAATTAATGTTTAATTTAATTTTCGCTAGTAAAATTTCATCATATATAAATTAATGATTTTAAAAAATTAAAACGAAGCAAAAATCATTTTGTTTTCCTCTTGAATCATTTAAAGCCATATATGGCGTATGTACAATGAAAATTATTAGACTAAAATTATAAGAACTTATTATTTGTATCATTACTTTATATAAACATGATAAAGATAGAAATTTTCCGTACATTACAAAATCTAAGTCAATTGCGTTATAAAGATATCAAAATTTAATTTGGATTCTTGGAATTTTCTCCGACTTGGAAGAAAATACAAAAGATTTAAATAACACATTACAGAGTAGATAAAATCGTATTATTAGATAAAACGAGGTGTTCTCCGTGCTCCGAATTGTATGAAAAGCTTTAATTTAAATGAATTAACTATATTTCTTTACTTAATTTTGTATTTTTCAAAAATATATTTTCTCAGTTACGCCATATATGGCTTAAAAAACGCTACATAATTGCATGACACAAGTTTATCATTGAGCTGATTGAGTGAATGTATATAATTTAATAATGAGATATCTGTGAGGCATATATGTACAAGCAAATATTGCTTTATTAAACAAAGGAAAGGGGGGAATTCAAATTAGGAAATAAAAGATTGTTTTAAGTAATTAAGTCTTGTAGTACTGCAAAATGGATGCAGTTGTCGAGATTTATGGATAATATGAGCATGCTGTCTGGAATATTTCAATATTAGAGAATTTAATAGCAAAAAAGAGTGAAAATACCGGTGGTGCTTTTCATGTATTACATGTGTATTTTAAAATTCCTAATAGCCCAAAGGGATTCCTCAGTGCAGAAAACCACTAGCCCCATCCTCAAAAATGGAAGCCCCGGGTGTAGCGCGATGCTAATTACACACCCATCATGTGAAATAGTTATAGTAGCCCTATATCAATTTCAGTTTTGTTTTAAATTAATTAAAACAAATGACAAAAACAATAATTTAAAAAAAAAATCAAAATAAAGCAGACACTCAGTCAAAATCAAAGACAGAAAGAAGCACAGTTTTGACTGAAAGTTTTTCAGTAATACAATGAATCTCTTAATTACATATCAGATGAGATAAACTTACATACAATTATTTAGTTGTTGTCAATTATCCCATTTATCATCATCTCAGCTCACTTTGCGATTGTAATACTATCTACATGAACCGATAATTTACAGCTGATTTATGAATACACGATTGTTAAAATTTTCATTTCCCTTTCCAATATACATTGTCAGAACATACTTAGTTGGTTATGATATAAAATTAATTAATAAACACTTTCTATCTATTAAAGATTATCTAACAATATACGATCATTTATTAAATACTTCTCGCCCTCAAGACAGTTAAAAAGACAGAGAAAATTCAATATACAAACAAGTACAACTTAGGATTAATTGTTCCGATATATCTATTTTAATTTTGTGCACAATTGTTTTCAAAATTACATTAAAATCTATTTTCCTTAAACAAGAACCCAGCAATGTATAAATATTAATCGAATTAACTTACCTTTTCTCTTGTCAATCAGAAAATCTTGTTGACATTAAGTGTTTCTTAGTCGCCATATTTTTTTCCCATGAAAACAAACGTTGTTATGATCAGGATCAACGGAAGTTGATTTTCGGAACTCTCGAAAATTTAGAGTTCCGAATGTAAAACTGAAACAACAAAACACGGTGCGTCCGTGAAAGCAACTTTTTTGGACACTTTTTTGGACAAATCGTCGTGTCCAAGTTTTGTTGGGTACTAACCTGCAAATACCCAATTAGGGTGTTTTAAGCATATTCAGCGACACTTCTTATTGGGTATACCCAATAAGCAAAAAGTACCCAATAAGTACAATCTTGGCATGAAAAATACCCAATAAATGCACTCTCGTAAACACGGACAGACGGACGGACGGACAGACAGACAGACGGACGGACGGACGACGGACAAAATGTGATCAGAAAAGCTCACTTGAGCCTTCGGCTCAGGTGAGCTAAAAATATTTTCACAACAGTGGGTCTCATCTATTACTAAGCAGCAACGATGTCCCAACGTCATCATGGCTTATCTCTTGAATACAAAATTTGCAATCAAATGGAGCAAAAATTTATGCAAAAGACAAGAATTTTGTCTAAAAAAATTGGAAAAAGATCAAATAATTCTAATAAATGTTACTTAAATCAAGACGGATTAAAGCAAAATGAAACACATAATTAAAAGAAGTGCAAGTGAACTGAAAATGAGTACCGAAAGGTTACTAGTATGCAGCATTTAACAGGCTTTAAAACCTTAATTTTTACCTCATTTTTTATTCAATCGAATAAAAGGGTAAGGGAAAATCAAAATAGTTTGGGGTATAAGTATATGTTAAATTTATTTGCAAGACTTTAAATATCAAAGAAAAAAGCCAACCTAAGACGCAGAACGTGTCTTTTCTTTGACTTTGTCAATAAATTGAGTTCAATTCAATTCAAAGATTTTATAGCAATTGTTTTCGATCAATCATTACTTTGGGATCAACACTTGTATGTTTATTATCAAACAGAAAGATTATACATACCTAGGTTAGATAAAATTTCAAATAAATACATTCTAAGATAAGATATGCAATTACTCTATTTACAACAATGAAATATATGGAGATAATGAACATTATTCAAGCTCAAAAGTCCATAAAACAATACAAAGTAGGAAGCAGAGCAGACACAGACCTCCAAAACATAAAGGTGGGATCAGGTGCCATGGAGGAGTGAGAATCTCCTGCCGACCAGGCACACCCGTGTGCTCTGTGTCATGATCGGGAAATAACGGAAAATCCGCCGTTAATTCAGCGTGAAAATAATGGACTGACAATTAGTATGAAAAACGTCAGTCAGCATTTGACTTAATGAAAAATTGAATTTGCTGAAAGAATAAAATTAATTCATTGTGCACAAACTACCTTGCAAAAACACAGGAACACTCTCTTCAAATTCAATGGTTCCTTTTCAAAGAAAGTTCTGAACAAAATTGCAGTACATTGCATTTGTACATATATGTATGCATTTCGTGGAAAGTAAAAATGTGGTTTACTATACATGTAATTCTACATGTTAGTACACTGAGTCGTTTTTTATCTATACTTCTAGAAAAAAATACATGTAATTGTTTTTGATTGAAAAATGAAGCCTTTTCATTTTAGTTATTTACAGATTTCATATATATTTGACCAGCTATGCGTTTGTTTTGAAAATAATTACACAAGAGTACTAGTATTTCAAAGAAGCACGTGTGTTGAACGCTTTATACATGAATGGTATGATGATAACGAACAATATTCAATATCAAAGTTCACAAAACAATACAATATAGGAGCAGAGCATACACGGACCTCCAAAACATGAGAGGTGGAATCAGGTGCTATGGAGGAGTGAGCATCCCCTGCCGACCAGGCACTCCCGTGTGCTCTGCGTCATGATCGGGAAATAACGGAAAATCCGGCGTCAATTCAGTGTGAAAATAATGGACTGACAGTTAGTATGAAAAACTTCAGTCAGCATTTGACTTAATGAAAAATTGAATTTGCTGAAAGAATAAAATTAATTCATTGTGCACAAACTACCTTGCAAAAAACACGGGAACACTCTCTTCAAATTCAATGGTTCCTTTTCAACAAGAAAGTTCTAAACGAAATTGCAGTACATTGCATTTCGAGGAAAGTAAATATGTGTTTTTCTATAATCTTACATGTTTTTCTTCCCAAAAAAGTACACTGGGTCGTTTTTTATCTACACTTCTAGAAAAAAAATACATGTATTTGTTTTGGATTGAAAAATGAAGCCTTTTCATTTTAGTTATTTACAGATTTCATATATATTTGACCAGCTATGCGTTTGTTTTGAAAATAATTACACAAGAGTGTTTCAAAGAAAGACGTGTGTTGAACGCTTTATACATTCATGAATGATATGATGATAACGAACACTATTCAATATCAAAGTTCATAAACCAATACAAAATAGGAGCAGAGCAAACACGGACCTCCAAAACATGAGAGGTGGGATCAGGTGCCAGGGAGGAGTGAGCATCCCCTGTCGACCGTTCACACCCGCCGGGTGCTTCTTGTCATTATCGGGAGATAATAGAAAAATACGTCGTCAATTCAGCGTATAAATAATGGACTAACAATTAGTATGAAAAAAGTCAATCAGTATTTGACTCAATGATAAATTGTATTTGCTGACAAGGTCATTGTTTCGACCATAGAACTTACGAAATGATGACTTTAAACAAGACTGCTGACATTCTTGTTTCATCAACTTGTTTGTCAATAATTCTCCTCGTTTTATAGAAATTGTACATACGTAGAGCATTGCTCTTGCAAATCGAATGAATTGAAAGATATAAACTCCGTATTCAGTTGATGAAGGTATATTTCTGCACATAATTAAGTACGGGAAGTTGACGATTAAAAAAGTTAAAGTCATCACGTTTATCACTGAGCTTGGTTGTACGAATACCATGAAAGTCTTTTTCAAGAAAAATATCCGAATATGATAAAGATGTGTCAGACTCTGTGCACATGGTATCTTTTATCTCAAGCTCATCGGGATATATCATATCTACGTTAAATGGAAATTACAAATGTAAATTGAAAATACGTCGTCGATATTTCTTAATGTCGACTTGAAGGCCACAACAAGTGGTAAGTTTTTGATTGACATATGTATTTGTGGTGTATGTAAATGTAAATTTGTGCTGCATGTAAATGTAAGAATCAAAACTTAATAATCGTACTGCAAAAATTAATATTGTCATCTCTTAAAGTATTTTATTATATGATCGAATAATTTTCTTATCTCTGATTGGCTGAGATCCAACTATGTTAGAAAAATACTACGTTGTCTTGAGCTGCACGTGACGTTCCAGGTCAATACAAGGAATTATTGCAGGTCAATATAAGGAATTATTGACCTGTTCCATTTTTTCTGTTACAATGTGTTCTTGTGAAATTTCTTGTTAAAATTTTCAATTAAACCAAAGAAACAGTCTTGTAGGGGTTTGCTATCATTTAATCATATAATAAAACAGTTATTACTGTTTTTTGCGGTCAGTACGATGATTTCGCCACATTCGAAGTACAATATTCACTTCGCCCTTCGGGCTCAGTGAATATTGTACTCCTCAGGTGTCTAAATTATCGTATTGACCTAAAAAAAACAGCAATAATTGTATAATATAAAAATATTCGTGGCTTTTAGTTGAATATACACTGTAGTAAGATGTTAGATGTTCAAACATGAGGATCTAACAAATCTTATTTTGAAAGCACAACCGTTACCAAAGAATGCTCAAGAATGTTTAATTAACAAGGATTGCAAAATAGCTAATCATCGTTTTACTTAAATTTGAGCAGACAATTGAATATCTAAAATTGCACTGAAGCTATACGTAAAACATAAAAATATAACTGATAACTGTAAATATACGTGAACTTTTGAGAAAAAAAATATTCTAGCAACACATACATGTAGGTACAGATGTACCAGTCACTTTGCACTACCTGATCTGGATTCGTCCAGTACAGAATCACACATGCATATATTATTTACTGCAAAGTTTTTAAAAAGGTCTTTTAAATCAGTGATACAAATTTTGTTTTATTAAAGTGCAGTATAATTATCAAAATAAATATTTAACCAATTTTATGCTTTGACTAAATGACGTAAAAAGTGGAATATAACAATTTTGATTTTTATTACGGATCTGGTTTTTCAAAAAAAAAAAAAAGCCGTTCCATTAATTATTACAGCTTATGATTCATCTGTTTCCCCTAGCAACAATATAAGGTGTTTAAAAAATGACTTAGTTAATAATTCATGTGAAAAGTATACTGCACTTTTGGACTTGACATCATTAGAATCTGCTTTGTGAAATTGATATTTCGGATATAAGACGTGGGTTGGATACCCTTATATAAATGTCTCACAGTCAGAAAACACATCCAAGACTCAGATCGCCATTATGAAGGGGATACTGATTTGCCTCGTAGTTCTCATTGGAATCAACCTGGCGTCCGCCACCTTTTTAGGGGTACTTCTCTCTCTCTCTCTCTCTCTCTCTCTCTCTCTCTCTCTGATTTATTTATATATATAATTTTTTTTTATAATTATGGTCATTGTTATTATATTTAAGAAATTATTTTCTTTTTCTTACGTATTTCAGGCACATAACGCAAAGCGACGCCTGCCATACGCTGCAAACATGAGAGCCATGGTATTTTTTTCTTGTGCCCACAACACGCATATTAGGCCTACTTTATATCTGAAAATAAGATAAATTTTGGTGTCATGGTTTTTAAATAAAACATATTTATTATTATATATTTATTATTAATATAGAATGCTGCAAAAATGAATTTTTGCTATATGTTACCAAAGATTTGCTTGTCAACGTATTGAAGAAACCAATTATTTTATAAATTTCTTTTAAAATATTTCCAATCTCTTTAAGAGGTCTAGGTCATATATATTCAAAGAATAATTTCGGAATATTTTTTTCTTTAATTTCTACAGGTGTGGAATAGGGAATTAGCTACTATGGCAAGAAACTGGGCGAGTAAATGCATCAAGGGCCATAATCCAAACAGAAGGTCTAGCCGGTTTTCCAGCGTAGGCGAAAACATTTTCTGGAGCTCCAGTAAGTGAAAATGCATTTTTGAGGCACGTGTACATATCGTGTATCATTTAACAATTCAATTTTCGAAAATGATATTTTTGAGTTTAAGGACAGATCGACGATACGTTCCTAAATAATATATAATTTTTTCCGATCTAGATTTTGTCATTGAAGTAATGCTACTTTTACAAGTATTGAGGTACCTTATACCAATCATTCGTGCAAGACACCAGAGGATAGTTGATTATATAATCCTATTTTTTCCCCAAAAGGATTATATAATGCAACCATCCTCTGGACAAACTTCAATTGCCAAAATCAAAAATTTTAGCGTTGTAAATTTTTAAAGACAATTAGAAACCAGTTTAAAAATCACAAGGTAATTATAATTTTAAATAGTTTTCATATATAACAAAGATATACAAAACAGATTTCTGAGGAAGGTATTGTCTGATATTTAAGAATTTTTATACATAAAATTCTGATTTTCGAAAACTTCAAACTAACTTCGTATATTGAAATTTAATAATCTCGTTTTCAAATACTAGTATCTAAGATTTCACATTATAACTTTCTTAGGTTGTTAACATAAATATTCAAATTACAAATTTCCAAAAAACAAGTTCGGAGTTTTAAACTTATGAGGTTTAACGATCTACTTACTCGAAGATCAGTAAAATTTTACTTCTTTTGCTATTTTGAAATTAACTTCAAACTACTAGTACTATATTTCCACTTTCAAAGCGTACTTGAAGTAAAATTCTAAAAGCTCAAAAAGTAAAAAGTGTCTTGGTTTTTTGAAAGTTTTAAGTGTGTGAATCAAGAAAATAAATCTAGTACTCCAAAGTAAATGTATGAAGAAAAAGGTAGATATCCACCATACATATTTATAAGATATTAAAAATGGTTATGTACTGGGAAAAAACCTTAGCAGCCTATGGAAAAAAATCTTAAATGAGATTTATTTTAATTTTAGAGGAGTTATATCGCTGGGTCATTTGTTTACCCATGGATAAAATGTGTACAAGATAATCTTTTAGATTGTCTTTTACATGTACAAATCAAACATTTCAAAAGATTTTTAATTGGCTTAAGTCAATCATGAAAGAAACCCTAAGAAATCATTTTTCAAGAAAATATTATTAACAAAAAGTATTACCAATGCTATGTTTTGAATAGTTCAATATCGACAGTATTCCTTGAGGCTTCAAAAAGAATTAATATAAATATAAAATATATTTATATAATTGTATAATTTCTACATGAAATATATGGGGCTAGCGGTATTCATGCTAAAAAGTCAATAAAACAATTTTAAAAAAAGGAGCAGAGCAAACACGGACCTCCAAAACATAGGTATATCAGGTGCCATGGAGGAGTGAGCATCCCCTGCCGTGTGCTCCTTGTCATGATTTAATTGGAAATAACAGAAAAATCCATCCTCAGTTCAATGTGTAAATAATGGACCAACAATTAGTATGAAAAACGCCAGTCAGCATTTAACTAAATGATAAATTGTAGTTGCTGACAAGGTCATTTCATCCATCATAGAACTTACGACATGAAGACTTTAAACGAGACTGCAGATATTCTTGTTTCATCAACATGTCTGTCAATAATTTACCTCGTTTTAGCCTGTTTTTGCATATCGAATCAGCTGAGAAATATTCATTCTGCATGTTGGTGATGAAGGTATATTGCTGCATAACTAAGGGACGTTGACGTTTGAAACGTCAAAGTCATCACATTTGTCATAAGAACTTGATTGCTAGATTACCATTAAACGTCTTTTTCAAGTAAAATATCCAAATATGAAACAGATGTGTCAAACTCTTTGGTCCCTTTTATCTCAAGCTCACCAGGATATATCGTATGGACATAAGAATGGAAATAACCATTGTTAACTGACAATACGTCGTCGATATATCTAGATGACAAGTTGAAGGCCACAGAAAGTGTTTCTTTTCACGTACAAGATTTTGGACAAATTCTGCTTTATATGAATACAAAAATAGGTCTGCTAATAAAAGTGCGCGATTGGTAGCCATGGGAATTCCAATAGATTGTTGGGGGACCTGGTCTCCAGAAACCACATAGATATTGTATATTAGAAAAACAAGCATCTTTTTGATATTTCAGAGTACTTGTATGTATAATAAGAATGTTTTTAACAAATGTTTTTTAATGACATATGACAAAATAAGTAAATTTACGAGTTCCATTTTTATTTTAAAAAACTGCTTTCATTGATAAAAAAATTATAGACTTTAATTTATCGTGGGGAATAGTTGTGTATAAAGTTGATAAGTCTTTAAGCTGTTGATCTAGGATATATTGTTGCACAGTACCCTTGAAGTTTCTCCTTCAATACTGATTATATCTAAGTGAGGAGTTAAGAAAGAGGCTTGGTTGAACACTTACTTGAACCGGTTATGTATTTTTCTTTGTAAGAATTGCATATTAATTTTGGTTTACCTATAGATTCTAGAACTCCTGGAGCTGCCGTAAATGCCTGGTACTCGGAAAGACAATATTATAACTACGCCTCCAATAGTTGTTCCAGAACATGTGGACATTACACACAGGTAAGTTTGTAAAAATATACAAGAAATTGTTTTATATACTGTGTTCAACCTGTATCTATGACAAAATAAAATCGATGAATTATTAATTAAATGTTTACAAACTGTCAGCTTCAAATCAGTAAAAAAAAAAACACCTTAAAACCCTTGGTTTTAGAAGTAATATACTGGGTTGGATCGAAGACTATCTTACTGAAAGACAACAAAGAGTGAATTTAGAAGGCTTTTCATCAGCATATAAAACTATAGATGCTGGGGTACCTCAGGGGGCTGTATTGGGTCCCTTCTTGTTTTTGTTATACATAATGATATAGCTAAAGATATATCGAGTAATATTCGATTGTTTGCTGATGATACTTTTTTATGTTTGCCAACAATTTCCCTTACTCAAGATCTTGAAAAGATAAGAAATTGGTCCAAAGCTTGGACTGTAGATTTTAATAGTGAAAAAAATTTAATATTAATTTTACAAGAAAACACGTAAGTTATCCTAATATTCAGTTTGGATATGGAGGTGATTATATAAAACAATCAAATACTCATGTTCATTTAGGATTACAATTTCAAGCAGATGTTCTTGGAATAATCATATACTGAATATACATGAAAAAGCATGTAAAAGATTGAATATACTTAGTAACTGAAACATAGCATAGATAGAAATTCACTAATAAAAAAATATTTTGCTTTTGTAAGACCAATTTTAGAATATGCAGCAGTTGTGTTGGATAATTGTACAATAAGTAGTATAAAATTGCTTGAAAAGGTTCAGATATAAGCTGTCAGAATTATTACTGGTCTTAGAGTTAATTCTTCCTGAACTTGTTTGTATGGTAAATTAGGATGGGAACCATTATATCTTATAAGAGAAAAACACATATAAAATTATTAATAGATCTGCACCTGGTATTTGTATGATTTGAATCAACTTTTTTTCCTGTTCAAGTTGCATACAACCTAAGGTCTGGATGTAATAACTAAAGTATACCAGTTTGTAAAACAATGTCATGCTATAATAGTTTTATTCCCTCAACCACAACACTTTAGAACAGTCTTAGTGAAGATGTAAAAAACTCTCCTTCATTACCCATCTTTAAAGCAAAGCTTAAAAATTGGGGAGCAACTATTCTGATAAACCTTGTAGGTACTAACTTTGGTAATAGAAAAGAAAATATCTTGCATTGTCAGTTGCGAAAAAATGCTAGCAATCTTAATGCACATTTAAAAAATCATTTTTATCAGATATTCAATTATGTCAAAAGTGTGAATTTCATACTGAGGATACTGAACATTAACTTATCAACTGTCCATCAAATATCGTTGCATGAAAGAAACTTATTGGTAAAAAAATTAAATGATATTGAACTTGTTTTTGAACTCAACACTCTGTTAAGAGGAAAATGTCAATACTCTTATCAAACAAATTGTAAAATATTTGTACATTAATTTATTGCAAACGTTTTTTCCCTAAATATTTGTATTATTTTTAAACTGGAACAGTATGCAAATAATCACCATACAGTTAGGGGGTTGTCATCTTTATATATAATATTGATGAATAATACTTGATTGTGAATGTTTTTTTTTTTCATTATAATCTTATTGATTATCGTGTACATGTATTATTACTTACTATTGTATCTTGGCCTATTATACAAGTACAAGGCCCTGCCTGTTGCCCAATCCTTATTGTATTATTCAATAAAATATGTTAAAAGTAAAGTAAATCAGTAAAGAGGTAAAGCAAATTTCAAAATAAAATCATAAATGAAGAGATGTGGTACTCCAAATAAATAATGTTTTATCCATTTGAAACTTGCTTTGTGAAATAGTTTACATCGCAAGCGTTATGCTTTTGGAAATATGCACAACATATCATACAAATATATTGAATATTAATTATTTCAATTAAAAAAAAATGCTCACCTTTTTAAAACTTTAAGTCTTTTGACTTTTCTTCAAGGTTGTCTGGGCGAATTCTGAGTATCTTGGATGTGCGAGGCAAAGATGTAGCAACTTTTACATCTATGTCTGCAACTATGGACCAGCGTAAGTGCCATTCCTTGAATTTGAAAAGAGAAATAATATTTATATGATCATATGATATTTAAAGCAATACTTTGTTTCGAGAGTGCTAACACAGAAAGCTCTGGTTCTCTCGATCCATTAAACATGCTTATTCAAATACATTTTTGTCTCTAGAGGTAACTTCTCAGGACAGAAGCCGTACGTCCGGGGAAGGCGCTGCAGTCGCTGCCCACGTGGGTACCGGTGCTTCAACAACCTGTGTGTCAGAAGGTGACGAATCGGCGGAGTTACAACGTAATGCTACCTATCATATTCTAAAAAAAAATAATCAACTTTGTTTTTAGTTTTCAATATATCTTGTGTCTATTTTTCCCCGCACTTTTTATACTTACTGTACATTTTTATCAATATTCATTTTTTTTAGTTTTTTTAGCTCACCTGAGCCGAAGGCTCAAGTGAGCTTTTCTGATCACATTTTGTCCGTCGTCCGTCCGTCTGTCTGTCTGTCTGTCCGTCTGTAAACTTTTCACATTTTCGACTTCTTCTCAAGAACCACTGGGCCAATTTTGACCAAACTTGGTACAAAGCATCCTTGGGTGAAGGGAAATTTAAATTTTTAAAATGAAGGGCCAAGTCCACTCACAAGGGGAGATAATCAAGAAAAGACAAAAATAGAGTGGGGTCATTAAAAAATCTTCTTCTCAAGAACCACTTGACCAGAAGAGCTGAAACTTGTGTGAAAGCATCCTGAGGTAGTGTAGATTTTAAATTCATCAAATCATGACCCCCGGGGGTAGGGCGAGGCCACAACAAGGAATCAAAGTTTTACATAGAAATATATAGGAAAATTCTTTGAAAATCTTCTTTTCAAGAACCACTGGGCAAGAAAAGCTGAAAGTTATGTGGAAGCATCCAGGGGTAGTGTAGATTCTAAATTGTTCAAATCATGACCCCCGGGGGTAGGGCGGGGCCACAATGGGGAATCAAAGTTTTACATAGAAATATATAGGAAAATTCTTTGAAAATCTTCTTCTCAAGAACCACTAAGCCAGAAAAGCTGAAACTTGTATGGAAGCATCCTTGGGTAGTGTAGATTCTAAATTGTTCAAATCATGACCCCCGGGGGTAGGGCGGGGCTACAATGGGGAATCAAAGTTTTACATAGAAATATATAGGAAAATTCTTTGAAAAAGTTCTCCTCAAGAGCCACTGGGTAAGAAAAGCTGAAACTTATGTGGTAGCATTCTGGGGTAGTGTAGATACTGTAGATTCTAAATTGTTCAAATCATGACCCCTGGGGGTAGGGCGGGGCCACAATGGGGAATCAAATTTTCACATAGAAATATATAGGAAAATTCTTTGAAAATCTTCTCCTCAAGAACCACTGGGCCAGAAAAGCTGAAACTTATGTGGAAGCATCCTGGGGTAGTGTAGATTCTAAATTGTTCAAATCATGACCCCGGGGATAAGGCGGGGCCACAATGGGGAATCAAAGTTTTACATAGAAATATATAGGAAAATTCTTTGAAAATCTTCTCCTCAAGAACCACTGAGCAAGAAAAGCTGAAATTTTTATGTGCACATCAAAGCATCCTGGGTATTGTAGATTTCAAAATGTCTAAATCATGATCAGTGGGGTAGGGTGAGGTCGCAATATGTATTAAAAGGGGGAAATCTGGTAAAGAACAGAATGGTCAAAGCTTCTCAGGTGAGCGATGTGGCCCATGGGCCTCTTGTTTTACTTTGTATTGTAATTCGAATTCTATCAGACTACAAATGTATTAAGTTTCTATTTTGGCTCTGTATTTTGAATAATGTATCTTTTTCTATCATTAAACGAAATAAAATGCATTTTTATTGTGTCAGTACTTTATGTATAAGTGACTGAAGATGTAATGCTAAACTTCTGCAAAGTTCATTTAGTTAGGCTACTGCCAAGAG